CCTTACAGAACTGCTAGAAGACAAAGGGAGGGAGAGAAAAAAAGAGAAAGTGAGAAAGGAAGCAGAGGTGTGCAATTGAGTATTTCACCCCCAGATTCTGAAGGGGATTTATCTCCTCCTCCTGCTGGGAGGTCAGAAAGGTTTTCTGCCTTTTGTCAATCCAGCTGATAAAGAGAAAATCAGAAGGACACAAGTAACCCTGTGCAAATGAGAAACAAAGTCTATTCAGTCTCTCAAACAGTTTCATGGACACCAACAGCAGAATGTAGTCTTTCCAAAGCAACTTTTTCTTTTCTTTTCTTTTTTTTAACGGAGAGTTTTGCTAGTTGTGCTCACTGGAGAGATAGAGAGAGAGAGAGAAAGCGAGAAATAACCTTCCCATGGGGATGGCCGCACTGGAATCCCTTCTCTGCCATTCTCCTTTTGGGATCTTGGGTACGCATACACACACATGTCACTGGGTCTGGGACTCAAACAGTGGTGGACTATGTGGGGGTCCAGTGATGTAACCATTGGACCAACCATCAGCTGGTCCCTCCAAAGCAGCTTTATCTTTGGAAGAAAATAGCTATCAAAATAAACATCATTTGGAATACTAACACTCAGGAGATGATTTGAGAGGTCAGGGTCCCCTTTTGGTTGCGCAGGACTCTCAAAACAAGGTACCCACAGTCCTAAAGTGGGTCAGATATTTTCTACTTTGAATATCTAAAAGACCTTGGTGCCAGTGGCCCCCAAGAGAGACTCCTACTTGCAGGAAGGCAGTTGTCCCAGGGAAGGAAACAAAGAGTGATCAGGAAGCCCTTTCCCTGCCCAGACATTCCTCTTTTACTCATACTGAGAGATTCGTTATTCTGAATTCTTCGTTTCTTTTCTTCTTCCCATATTTTTTTATAGCTTCTTCTTCTTTAATTCTTTTTTTTTTTTTTTGAGAGGTTTTTGCTATAGGACGTGTGCGCTCGCCAGAAAGACAGAGAGACATACCCCCCCACCCCCCAGGGGGCATGGCCACGTAGCAATCCCTTCTCCTCCATTCTCCTCTCAGGATCTTGGGCACACACGCACATGTGCCCGGCATGAGTTTAAGCCACTGGGTCCGGGACTCAAACCATGGTCAACTACATGGGAGTCCAGCGACATAGCCATCACACTAACTGCTGGTCCCCTTCTTTAATTCTTAAAGGGCAATGGGGCAAGGTCACATGGCAATCCTTTTTCTTCCATTTCTTCATCCTGTCAGGAGTCTGGACCCAAAGGTACTTGCGCTTGGCATGTTTTTCAAGCTGCTGGGGCTGAAGTTAGAACTACAGTTGGCCATGTAGATTATGGCTGGCAATGCACCGCACTTAATCACTGTGATATGGGGCTGGTCCTCTTTCCTCCCTGTCTTTAAATACAAATGTACATATACCATAAAGAGATAGTATATTAAGGCACTCACCACAGAGCCTGGCCCTGAAGTAGTAATATACTATTACAAACATCTAATCATAACATGACACATTCAATACAAACTGTCAAACGAGTGACCAGACCTACACTTCTTTCATGTCTCATCTGGCAATTGGGATTCTTCTTGACACTTGTCAGCCTTACCTACTCCATCCTTGACCCAAGCTTGCAAGCCCAGGCACACCTGCCACCCCACCTGCACGTTTGTAGCCAAAAAGGTCTGAGTTTCAGTCCAATTTCATCCCTTATCATCCTAAAGGTGCTGGGCAATTTTTAATTTTTGAAGCTCAGTTCCTCTGTGCATAAGCCATATCACAGGACTGCTGTGGGCACAGAATTAAGGCAAAGGTCTGGTCCATGCCAAAATGCATCAGAACTAGTCTAAGTAAAGAGCTAAGCCTTACAACTAGATGTTTACAAACCTCAAACGCCCATGAACACCACAACTGACCTCTTAATTTACTGGGGTTTGACAGTGTTCTGTATCAGAGTGTATCTCCCAATTCTCATCTTTCCAGAAAGGAAGATGTTACTCAGCCTTAAATGTGATTTGTCATATTTGGTAAATCAGGAGTCAAATTCTTAAAATACTCGCTTGGATTGCCTAAAGCCATCTCTAAGTGGGAGGTATGACTGAACAGGCACGGGTACCACTGACTCTCTAGAATCTGCCTCATTCCATCTTTTAAAATGTATGTAAAGGAATTCTAAAACTCAACCATAGAAATTAATGATGCTGTCTTGACTTGCATAAACCTGCAGCCATGACAAAATGGCTTTCTATTTAATTTTAAGACCTAGTAAAATAGGAAGTTGAAATTAACCTCAGCCCTTTTATAGTTAAAACCTCAACAAATAAACAGTGGTTTGGTGGCATGGCAACCTGCCTCTTCCTCCATCTGTACCTCACTTCAGATAACTTGAGGTGTCTATTTTGAGTGATTCTCAAGCACATATGATTCCAGATACACAGAGGTGCTATTCTATACCTGTGATTTCCTGCTGTAGAGGTACTGCAGAACCTTCCCTATGAAGTCCTAGCAAGCAGGGCCCCCAGCAATCTCTGAGCTCCCAGTTGCTGGCATTTCTATAAAGCTGAAAAGCATTCACATGCTGGTCTAACACTGAGATAGAACTGCTCTGACTGCTTTTGGGGTACTTTTCTTCAAACTACTGCTGCTGTTTCAAAGACAGCCATAAACACATCCTATATTTCTTAAAGTATCTTCTTAAATACAATGTAGATGCTCTAGGGATAAGCCTGCAAAATAACCATTTTAGTACATGTCAAGAACAAAATGAAGGTCTTGGCCAGAACAGACTTTCATGTAATCCCTGTTAAACTTTCTAATTTCAAGGAAAAAATGCTCAGTGGTTTGCTCAAAACATGACAATGATAAAACAGCATTTTCTCATAGAAAATTAGAAAAAGAAAGAAAAATGAAGTAGCTTTATACAGAAATATACCGGATACTCATTTTTAACAAGTTTTCCTACAAGTTTACAAGTGTGGACTGAATATCAAATTCATATTTTGGAAAGAAAGAACATCAGTAATATAGTTAACACATTCTTTAGAGTAGAGACAAGCCTCTAGGGCACTCTTAAAAGCCAGTTACAATTGCTCAGATGTTGCAGAAGAAAAAAGTTTTGAAAAGGAACAGAAAAGGGTGATGCTTGGTGTTAAACCCGATACTCTGCTAAGCATATAGGACTGCAAAGAGCTGAAGAATGCCCACCCATGGCAATGTCTACCCGAGAGCTGCTGTGAGACAAGAATTCAACGTGCCACCCCCCATCCCAACCTTTTTCAGTAAAGAGGCATATCTGGTGGAGAAATCAGATTAGGTTCACTTTTCACCAAAACTATGTGAAATAAGACAGACACAATGGTGACAATTTCAGTTTGTCCCTATTGGTTATATTTCCCATTGTTTTTAAAAATGCCTGATATTTTTGGTTCCAATATCACTATTAAAAAAAAAAAAGCAAATCCCCTTAGGAGCCTGGTAGTATAAATAGTCAGCTAGTGATGATAGAAGGAGAAAACAGAAGTCTTTCCTTTGATATTATACAGGGAGTCCGACGGCATAACGTAACTTAAATGACCCTAAACTCAAGATGAAAGGTCTCAAGAGTTTTCTTTTTAGAAGGAAAGTATCTTCACCCCAAGTTTCACCTCTCGCACTTATCTTCACCCCAAGTTTCATCTCTCGCACTTAAAGTACTATTTGACCTCATTTAACATACATAGTTGCATTTTGGAGTTAAAAAAAATCAATGTATATATTTTGAATTATTCCTACTGATTATCAAGTACCACAAAACCTACAATTCCATAAGGCCTCTTCCTAAATACAACTGAGACTGTAGATAAGATTCAAGTTTTCATTATTATATAAAAGGACTACTCTACAGCCACTTACCATGTCCATGGTATCTCATGGGAAGATTTCTTTGGGAATTTTCTACTTGATTAAAAGTACATCCCTCAGAAACATGACTGTTGGAGTTAGTGGCATAGGCTGTCATGCTGTGTGGAAATAGTAGGCATAATCTGAGAGAGCCCCATGTTGGTTAACCCCAGGAGAGAGTGATTGGCCTGGAAATCCCAAACAACAGACCACGCACATCCCACAATACAAGGCACACACAGAAAATGCCTAGGGCCACTCATTTCTGCTGTCCAAGGGGACGAGGAACTACCACATTTGTTCCAGGCCACCTTCCCTTTCTCCTTGATGTCTTGCTTCTCTTTTCCTTAGAGTTTCACAAGCCTGCTGCTTTAGGAAGGAACAGTGCTGTGACCATATCACGCACAGCTGCGTCCTGTACGGCACAGAGACAGGACTGCGTTTCGGATGTGAAATGGTATCAGAGAGCAAACAGTCATTGACGTCAGTGCTTCCAAAGTGTAAATGAACTTTGTGTATTATCTCATTTGGCACAGCGGGCTTTATGCAGTTATTGCATTTTGCAATGCTTTTGTAATTACCAGTTAGCCTCACGGAGTGGTGGGAGCAACCTGCATTCTTTATTGATTTGCAAATAATACCCTTGATGTGACTGTATTCACAGAGTCCTACTATTTCTTAATATTTTTAAAAAACATGTTAGATAGAAAACCTAATAAAATAATCATCTGAAGACAAGGACTTGAGACATCCTTCCCTTCATCTTGTTTAACACACGTGTGTGTGTTTGTGTTGTCAAGCCTAAGGGTATGTAAGAAAATAGCATAGCCAAGGCTAACTCTTAAAAAAAGTCTGTATATATAAAATTCCATATATAGACACCCTCAGCCACATCTCTACTTCCTATGCAGCACCTTTCAGCCTTGGAATCTTGTTACAATGCAGAGCTGCCTCTGTAGGTCTGGGATGGGGCCCAAGCCTCTGCATTTCCAGCAAGCTCCCAGGGAGTGATTTGGTTTAAGCAGCAAGGATGGTCTGGTGAATAGGCCTGACAGGTTGTGCATAAGGGGCTCCAGCTGTGAGTGGTGGCCCATGTTAGGGTTAGGCAGCAAGTGGCTTAATCCAGGTACTTACCCTGCATCTGACTCTGAGGCTGAGGGTTAAAGGCAGTGGAGTGGTTCAAGGAGGCCCGAGGGGTGGGCGTGGGGGCTGGGTGGTGTGGGCTGACCCTCATGGCTGTGCGCCGTAGCTGCTCCAGTTCACTGAGCCGCTCGGAAAAGGACAAGCTCCCGGGCTTGGTCTGATCATCTAGTTTCTGACGATGTCCTATTGTGGGGAGTGGGGTGAAGGGGAGAGAGGGGGAGAGGGAGGCAGGGAAGGAGGGAGGGAAGAGATCAGAACATGTATTGTGGATTTCCTAAAATTGGGGTTTCTGGTCTTTTCCCTCCCTCTCCCCTCACCCCAATATGAATTTGCTGGAGATGTGCCCCTTGGGCCAGCTGAGTCCCCTTCCATCACACCGGCCACGGGGTGCTCACCTAGCCTGGGCCCCAGCACTCACCCCAACCCCCTGCACCCACCTCTACTGGGCAGACTGCAGGGGGATGCAGGGCTTGGTGGTGGTGGTGATGGCCAGAGGGAAAGAAGGTGCATTAATTATTGGCACTAGGCCACACACTGTGAGCTAAACTGGCAGCCAGGAAAGGTGATCTCCCAGCAGGCCACTCCTTACTGCAAACCCAACCACCAGCAGGTTTGAGAGGCAGCAAAGTGAGCCCTGTAGCCTAGGCACGCCCCTTCCAACAGGAAATGAGGTGTGGCTGCAAACCCACAGCCCCTGGTGAGGTCGGATTTCCTGTTACTTGTAGGGTAGCCCCTCAGTCTCTCTGCCTTTCCTCTCCTCACAGCCCTTTCAAGAGCATTCTTTTTAACCTGAAGCCAATTCCCCAGATGCACCCCTAAGAGGGATAAGACAAGAGGTATACCCAGGGCCTTGTCCAATATTCTCAGCAGGAAGGACCAAATAGAGCCCATAGGGAGAGGGAGCTGCCAGCCCATTTGATGTGCTTCCCCAGAGGGCTCAGGAATCCCAGGTGGGAAGGTGGGCCTCTCAGTGTCTGCAGATACCTGGCCTTTACCTAAATCACTGTCACTGAGAAGCAGTGAGTAGAAGCTAGGCACATGGGACAGGCCAGGAGAGTTAGGCCTCTGGTCTACCTCTGATCCCTCTGATTCCCCATCAGAATGTCTTTAAACTAGAGATGGAGCTGCCACACAGAGCTGAGGATCCCGTGAAGGGTGAGGGCACAGAAGCTGGGTGATTCATTCCTCTTTCAAAGAGGATGGCCTCCTGCTCCTTCCTCACCCCTGAGGTTGTTCGAATAAAGAGTTCTTGAATAATTTCACAAAAAAACCAATTGTTGAATGGCCTCAAAACCAGCTTGGAGAAGCAGCCTCCTTGTTGGTTCTATAAAGTGCTCTTTCACATGACCTGACATTTCTATTCCTAAATTAGAAAGAGGGTCCCTTGATTCCAGTCGTCCTAGCCCATGGTAGGAGTGGGGCTGGGAGAAACATATTTCAGTGCAGCTCCCAATTGCTACAATTATAAAATTAAATTGTATAACTTGTATTCTGGCTCCAAATCTCCATGGCTTGCCATTTCTTCCTGCTGCTGGGCCCCTTGGCACAGCGGACAGTGTCTCAAATTCCAGACCAGAAAAAGGGCCCACTATATTGCAGTGATTTTATCATTAACAAGACCTGTTTGGCTCTGAAATGAGGAAAAATACTTAAGCATAATATTTGTGTAGTTCAAATGCAACGCTCCCTCTTTTCATGTGTCACCAAGGCAAATCTGGACTCTGATTCAGCGCTCCAGCCCACAACACTCGCTTGAACGCAAACAGCCTGAGTCACGCAGGCTCGGCACACATGTGAGAGGCCTCTTACGGGCTGAGTATTTTAAGCACCAGCTTTGTGGACAAAAGGGGCCAAGTCCCTGAGCAACCCCCACCATCTCTGTCCCTCAGAAGTATGAAAATGGTTTTTTCTACAACATTCGATGTCAGGTGATTGTGGCATAATTGAGTGTCTCTGGATGGAGCTTTCCTTGTCTCTTCCCTGCTCTTATCTCTGTGTCTGATCCTTGACAAATTGAAAAATCTTAAGTTTTGTTGCAGAAAACCAAATTCCAGTCAAAGCTATTCAAAACATAGTAAGTCCTTTAAATGACTCCCAAAGTCTATTGCCTGGTATTAGGAACCAAGGAAAGAAAAAGGCAGGACAAGTGATTCTGGAGAAATCTGCCTACTGCCTCAGAAAGAATTCTGGTCGGGGAAAGGCTTCTAACAGGTCTACTGCCCAGTTCAAAACCTCACATTCTGTGGGTACCCAGTGGTATAATGTGAAAATACCACATAAAGAATGGTGAGCGACCCGGGGGAATGATGTGTGTGAGATCATTCCCAATATGTGGTGTGCGATGCGGCAGAGTCTATGGCCAGCCTTTGAAGTAAGGCTGCAGTTGTGTCTGCTTGGGGACATGTGCTATGGAGAAACCCCACAGGAATAAGTCATTTCAGGTAAGGCACTGAACAAGCCAGGCACAGCATCAGGTTATTATTATTATTATTATTATTTTATTAGTCCCCTCTCACTACCCTATGCTTAAAAAAAGTTTCAATGTGAGCAATTTCTGTACCAGCTGACACCTGCCAAAATTGTAGTCATTTACAGAGATTAACTGATGACTGTCTGCTTTAG